TGACAGCATACAAGCCAGGTAGATCATGCAAATCAAAAGGTCGCGAGTTCGAACCTCGAGAAGTGCATACCTCGAGGTTGGATGTGGCCAGCTGATAGCGGCTAGCAGGCCAGAAATAGCCATTCCAGTCTCCCATGATATTTTTTATATCAAAAGAAGTGGAGCAGTTCACCGGGCGAGGTTTAGTGGGGGTCTGGTGTTTCGAGTAGTTATTTCACCTACCCACCTCCAAGGTCTAAAAATTCATGCGCACAGCCCTCATCATATGACACACTTTGCTGACACGTGGCCTGCCAATGTCGCGCGTGTGGCTGCATCCGACCCGCATTTCACCATGACCTGCGTCACCCCCTCCCTTGACTGCGGAGCGACCTGGCGGTCCCGATTGATCCGCGCCGTTACTGTCCCCCCCCCCCTCCCCCCGTCAAGAAGGTTCGTGAAACCAGATAGGGAGGAGGCAAAGTAATGTGACGGTTGACAGAGCAGTCGGTGGACATTCAGGATTCTTTCACCTGTCTTGATGTATGATCTTCGCCTCAGCCCACAGTCTCAACGCCGTCAAAGTTAAATATGTATCCCATTTCCCTGGCATTGGTTGCTGCTCCCGACTTTGGGTCTAACCTTCGCACAGTCAACTTATGCTAGTGTATTTGCGTTTGCAGAAGTCGGCCGGCTTCCCCAGCGCAGTTGTACGTCTCACAGCTTCCCTGGGTCCGGTACACAACGACTGGTATTCCCTGTTCAGGAATAGGATCTTTCGGCCACATCACATGTTAGCGAATTACTGAGTAAGGCCTTTGAGCAACTATTCCGAGTGGCGCAAATGATCTAGTCGCGGTTTCAGAGACCCCTTTCATGTACAGTATGCTCCGTCCTGATTTTGTCTGACTCAACTCTTTATTCCGTTTTCTTTGCCTCATCCGGCTCCGTTCAACGGAAGCTCGCAAATGGCCATTGGCTCTGAAGACTTCTTGGAGGGGTTTCCTCCCGTCAATTTTGGCGACTGGCGTGCTGCAATGAGTTTCCACCCGCCGATATAGTGTACGTAAATATTTTCGTTTGTTTTGTGGAGGGTGGTCGTTTGTAAGCGAGTATCCGCAGCGCGTTCGTCGATTTTCTGTAGACCGACGTCGTCAGTTTGCTGTCCGGCTGGCGGCAAACGAGAAAACCAAAGAATGGGATTTTGCCCTCCAACTTTACTTTCCTCGTAAAATGTAGCTCAGTAATGACCGAGCTACTTTTTTCCGTAATGTATAATTTTGTCCCGTCGCCAACGTATCTCATCCAAAATTTGTGTTTAGATTCCTCGAACTGCCGCCTCTCCGGTTTTTACAGAACGGTCTCAACAATGAGCTCGGAGATTAGTGAACCATCGGAGTGCCCTTCGGTTGCTCATATGTGACCACTTCGGAGGTAAAGAACGTCTTATGGCAGTGCCTCGGGAGGTCTACGAGATCTTGAACTGTCGTCCTCATCATAACTTTGACGCAGCAGGTCACTGAGCTTTTCGACCACCAAGACCTGTGTTATGGATATAGGAAGTGAAATTACATCAGACGATACATCCTCATATTTAATGCGATTTTCACTGCCTCTATTTTGTCGAGAAATTGCTCTGCTGAGTGCACTGTTGTTTGTGAGCCCGTGGCTAGGATCATCAGCTTCTGGAATAGCGAGTTTGCATGCCCGTGAATGCGTGTGCCTTGGAATGAGACAATTAGTCAGAGGGGAATATCCGACTTTTATACTTTTGGGAAACCGTAGAATCGAGCCGTAGATGATTCTGTAGGTTTTACCGTATATTACGCATTTATTGAACCTCGCGGTGCGGCTGCCAGTCACAATTCGACTGAGGGCCTCCGGACACAAGGAGACAAGTTGGTTCCGTGAAGCGATCTGTGCGCGCCCCTCGAGTCAGTACGATTAAGGCCAACAAGAGAGCAGGGGTGTAGGGCTGTCCAGTTGTGGGTCCACGTGACGGTCCTAGTAGGTTGCCCACTTGGTTGTAGATATTGACTACGCCTAGCGTCCGTCTCCTATCACCCAGCTCTCACCTGTGGATTCTCGATGCTAGGCTCTGTCTAGCGGCCAAACTCCGATAACCGCCACGACCGGTGCTAAACTAGATGACGGTATCCGTGTGTGCATCCCTGCACACGAAACTCGGCTCTGCTGGCCGGATGAATCACAACCTCGGTATCTCCGAGACGAGACTCTATCTGCCACACCGCAGGAGGCCACAAGGTAAGTGAGCACCAGGTAGGCGAACACTGCTCTGCCGTCTTTGCTTTGCTTGTTCTTGCTTGTCTTCTGTCTGCCACCATTACACATATCTGCGGCTGTCTCTGATGATGGGTTAGTGAGAATCCGAAACGTCAAGCCAATAAATTTATTGTCCCAGTGATCGCATCTTCGTCTTCTGAACTGCTATCTGGAACTCGCCTGTTTACTTCCATCAGCAATCTTTTTGGGCGCGATGCGCTCCGATCGGCTCGACGGTGAGAAACCTTTGCCCTTCGAGAGTCGTCTACATAAGCGCAGATTGGATTTCTGCACAGGTATCTCGACAACAATGTGCTGCCAAAGTGTGTTTCATACAAACCACCGGTTAGCACAGAGCTGGCGGGACGCGCAGTAATTCAGCACGGCCGAGGAATGATACGGGTGTTCCTTCAAGACTGTCATTCACGGATTCGCAAATACCGTCAGAGGATTGACCAAGAGAAAGAAAGGTGCTGCGAGTTCATGGGCGAGGACGGCATAAAACTGCACCAGCAAAGGCTGGCCGAACGAACCCGTGAACATAGAGCGACACGCGAAAGAGCCCTAGAAAGCAAATTTCGTAAGCTGCCTGCTCCAAGGTGGTGCAAAACTTGTCGTCAAAGTAACTGACGGTGGAACAGATGTAGGTGTTAAGGCATGAGGGTTCAGTCAACACAGCCGAGGCCAAACCTACCAACAAGATCGCAGCAGTGGAATCAATCCTCATCCAGACTGGAGCAACAGACGAAAAGAAAAACCTCATTCGACACCAAGTTATCTCCCTCCTCATGGCTCATAGGCCGCGCGACGTGCTTTCCAAGGTAGAGCGCGATGCACTTGAGGAACT